TTCACCCATCACATAGATCAGCTGCAGAGAGAATTGTGTTGTGGAAGTGTCACTGAAATTCAGAGGTCCATAAAAGGGTTCAGCTTTATTTTGTGGCTGGGGAAATCCTACATTCTCATACAATTTTCCAATTCTAGAGAATTTGAGAACTTGACTTCAGAAAGAAACACTGATTTTCTTGGTGAATTCAGTTAGTGAAGATAACAGAGAGTGTGTGTGCTCCTCAGTCTTGGACAGTCTCCTGCAGCTCTCCACCTGTGACAATCCTCAGAATGAAATGGTCATGATCCTGTTTCATTTCTGAAATCCCCCAAAAATCATTGATGTAGCCTTTCGAAAGTATGTTGCTGTTGTTGTAACTGTCATTACTGTCACTCCAGAGCCATGGTATTATTGTTAAATGTCCTTTTTCAATTAAGAGTGAAGAGATATTAAGGGTGTCCTCCCAAGAATCACAAATTACACTTGCCTTTGCTGTCTGTTGTGGGAACAAAAATTCCTAAGAAAAGTAATGAAATGGAGAAAATATTAATTTTGTGTCAAATTTACAGGGCATAATACACCATGAAAAAAATATAATATATATTACAGGGAATATTGAATTTCCCTACAGAATATGGTCTGTATAATGCAACAGTGCAATGGTAGTGTCTCACACTGGAGAGACTGGAAATCTGGTGGCTTTTCAGATCACAGTTCTGGATACCTAAGCAGTTCAAATCTCACCCCCAAGTTCTGTAAGATTCCTGGAGAGCTATTCATCTTCACTGTGTGTCAGAAGCCTGAAGAAACTCGTTCTAATGTGTGTGCATGAATGCTCCAGTAGTAGATAGATGAACTTGCCAGAGAGAGTGAAAAAAAAGACAAAAAATTAAGTTTTCTTTCCTGTTCTTTTATCTAGTCTATCATCTGATAGTACTGCCCACATTCATTTAAGCATGGCTTTTCTCAAAAAAATACAATCAAGAAGATGTAAGGAATCATAGAGGGATTATGGTTAGTTTGAAGTTCTATTTGGGAGAGGAAGGCATAGATATGATGTAAATAATAGTCTCTATTTAAAGTTTTCAAAAATTAATGATAAAGATAGAAAAATCCATCACAGGTATGCCTAGTGGTTGATGTTTTAGTTAATCACAGACCCAATCAAGTTGACAAGCCAGATTAGTCATCAAAATTTTATGAAGAATAGAAGTCTGTGTAGTTTCTGTGTACAATAAACGTTCAGCAGTAGTAGCATGCATAATGTCCTGAAAACGTTCCAAGTGGTACAGTTTATGTTTCATTCAAAGAAAAATGTGCAGGAGGAAATCTTGAAGTGTAAGGATAAAATTTTGACACTACAGTAACAATAGTTTGATATATCAATTTGTACATAGTAAACTTAGTTTTGTTTCTACTTCATTAAATCATTTAATAAAGAGGCATGAATTTCACATCAGATGGTACATAGATAAGAGATAACTATATAGGAGGTGGTGGGTGGATTAATATTTTGCTAAATATATATGAAAGATAGATACATACTTGGATCCTAGATGTCAATGATATATAATGAATGTGTCAAGAGTTGATATTTGTAGCCGGGCGATGGTGGCGCACGCCTTTAATCCCAGCACTCGGGAGGCAGAGGCAGCGGATCTCTGTGAGTTTGAGACCAGCCTGGTCTACAGAGCGAGTTCCAGGACAGGCTCCAAAGCCACAGAGAAACCCTGTCTCGAAAAACCAAAAAAAAAAAAAAAGAGTTGATATTTGTATAAATCAGGACACAGGCATAGAGTCTTAGGGATCATTTCTCTTTGATCATGGTGTGTTTTGTGGAATCATGCTCAGACTTCTTTCCACATTTCTCTTAAGCATGGTTGCACAGATATATTTCTTAGTGAAACATTTGCTTGAAAATAAAGAGAACTCACCATGTCAGTAAGTTACTACTTCTCAAGCATTAATTGCATAAATTATTACACACTCACAATCATCTATGTGTCCACACATACTGTTAATCTTGCCCTAGCTCAAATAGCATACACACAGCGATTAAGCACAATTGATCTTTGTGATTAGGCCCTTACACATCAGAAGAAAGAGCAGAGAAAATTCCCTATTCTTTCCTTTGTGTCTGTTCTGAAGTTGAATCCTTGGGCTTGATGATTGTGCCTTGAAGGTCATGAGTCCCTCTGAAGGCAGGTTTGTGTATGTGCACACTCCAAATGGCCCTAACTTTGTCTCTTGCAAAACAATACATGGGAGTGCCCTCAGAGTTCACATAGTACAATCTCCTGAAGAATTGGTTCTCAAATATGTCCCAAACAACAAACATTTTGTTCTTGAATGATAGACTATAACTTATATAACTATCACTACTTTTGTACCCCAACAATTCTAGACCCTCCCTGAGGGCTGTCCAATCCAGGCCCAGATATAGACACTGGTGATTGAGTAACCAATAACAATGTAGTTGAGAGAGAATGACTGATAGCTTAATCAGGCTAGGACTCCAGAACTTTTACATGGGGCAGGACAACTGAGTACAAGAAAAAATAGTCACTGTCAGTTACCTGCTGTTAAAACCTGTATATTTACATATGTATAAAATGGTGACACTCTCTTTGGGTGTTGTCACCAGACACAAGTGTAAATCCAATGGTCTCATCTTCAAGACCATACTCCTTCTTGCCTAAGTTTAGGACTGTGTGAGAGAGAGCTATGAGGTCCTACAGCCCAGAAAATGATATTGCAGAACTATAAGATAAATTTTCATGCAGGAAGCCAGCCTTTTCTTTTTCAATAAGGGGGTGTAGTGGTATTTTAATTTTATTTTAATAAATGAAGACTGCCTGTGGATCTGAGAATAAGATGGTACCATTGGTCAGCCTTACAGACCAACTTATGGTAACAGATATCGTTAATTCCTGTAACTAAAATGATGTGCACTTTTAATCCCAATAGCCATAGAAATTGTGTAGTTCATGCCTTTAATCATGGTGGTACATGATTTTAAACCCAGTTTTAGAGATTTTATAAAAATGTGAGGAAACATAGTCTTCTGAGATTCCTGGAGGCAGGATTGCCATTTTCAGAACTAGGTCTAGGTAAGAGCCAATGGCTGGCTGCTTTGCTTTTCAGATATATAATAGTTTGGTTTGCTTCATTTATTTATTTTTCCTTCTATTAATTTCCCACAGGAATTCTTATGTAAAGAGAACACATTATCTTCAAATGGATATTATTGTTACAAAGGCAGAGTTAAAAATTGAAGACCTATGTAGAAAATGTTTCTGAATTGATTCTGTGAGGAAAGATGAGATTTCATTGATTAGCAGGAATAGAGCCATCAGAAATTGTGGCACCTTTTACTAACACAGAAATTGCCTCATTTTGGGAAGTAAATGAATATTGACACAAAACTTGTAATTATTTTTGGAGATATTAACAATGAATGTTTCCAAAAGGAAGATCCTAGAGTTTATAAAAGAACTAATTGGAGTCTTTCTCATACAGTTGAAGCAACACCAATTTCTGGCACTACAACATTCTATGCAGTTGTAAATACATAAGGAACGGTAGGTTATAAGCCACAAATAATAAGTAAAGTGGCTCGAAGCCCTTATGATTCAGATAAAAGAATGAGAGATGGGGACTGGAGAGATGTCTCAACAGTAAGAACACTGTCTGCTTTTCCAAAGGTCTTGAGTTCAATTCCAAAAAAACACAAAGTGGCTCACAACCATCTGTAATGAGATCTAGTGCTGTCTTCTGGCTTTCAGGCATACATGCATGCAGAACATGTATACATAATGAATAAATACTTTTATTTGATTTTTGAGACAGGGTTTTGGATTTATTTTTTAAAAAAAAAGAAATTCAGAGTTGTATTTTATTCTTATGATATTAGTAGATTTTCTTTAATCACTTAATATAGATATTGATTTTCAATATGTAGAAAGCTGTTTTGCATTTTAAGATTCCTGACTTCATTCCAATTGATTTAGTATTAAGTACTCTATTTAATTATAGCAAGTAATCAGAAATAGAAATGATCTATTGTATAAAACACACATCAGATCCTATATGGGATATTTGACAAAGGGATTTCAGAATTTGAAAAATTTAATTATATCCAATATTTCCATAGATCCATATGCTTTTTATGGGAAACTGCTTTAAATTCTGAAAAAGTTGATTTTGAAATCTTACACTGAATAGTAGCTATGGTTATTATCGAAATACCTGTGAAAATTAAGACTGAAAATCCTCTACATTATGTCTTTATAAAGTGAAACATTTTTTTCATATTACAACCTAAAGAATTTTGCAGTTATACCATATATACTTATAAGACAGACAGATATTGAAAGATTTAATCACACTTTAAAATATATGCTTAATAGAAAAAAGGGGTAATAAAGACCCCAGAAATAGATCGCAGAATGCTTTATTAACTTTAAAGTTTTAAGTGTTAATGAGAAATGAATAACATCTGTGGAGAGACATTATATAGTAGAGAATTAAATCAGCCTGTTTATTTTTAACATTTAATTAACATCAGAATTGAAATAAGAAAATATATTTTGCCTTTGTTTCCACAGGAAAAGAAAAGCAGAGTATACCACTGAGATTCATAAAGATTACATGTGAACAGGTGAGATTTTCTGGATAAGCAGAGGCGATAGTTCATCAGCCATCTTGGTTATTCAGTCCAAACTAAATTAAAATATCTAAAAAAATGCCTTTTGAAGAGAAATCCAAATGTTCTAGTGTGTGAAGGAATGGGAAATGTCATTGAGTATAACCATGAGGAGAGTCCTCTAGAGGATTTCCCTGAGTAGAAAGAAAAATGGGAACAAGCATTATAACACACTCTCGTACAGCAGAGTTCAATAATTCCTAGATTCGTAAGTGACTCTTACTGGTTCTGAAGAGTTTCTGTTGGTTCTCAGTGCCACCTGCTGGTCACGATTTTCTCTGCAGATAGTATTTCGTACAGGCTCACATTGGAGTTATATGATTGTGTCCCTGGCACAGTAATACATGGCTGTGTCCTCAGTTTGCAGACTGTTCAGTTTTAGATAAACTTGGCTCTTGGATGTGTCCCTGGTGATGGTGACTCTAGGCTTGAGAGCTGAATTATAATCAGTGTTTCCATTATACCATATTACTCCCATCCACTCTAGACCCTTTCCTGGAGGCTGGCGAACCCAGCTTACACCATAACTGGTTATAGAGAACCCAGAGACAGTGCAGGTGAGCGACAGGGTTTGTGAGGGCTGCACCAGTCCTGGTCCTGATTCCTTCAGCTGATTCTGGGACAGGGCGCCTGTGGAAAAACAACATGACCGTCAATCATATATCCGGTAAATGACATACTTGGATCCCTCTTCTAAATCCCTGAAACACTTACAGCTTGGAAATGTCACCAGACAGAGAAACAGCACCAGGACAGCCATGCTCCGCTAAAGGCTCGAGTGAGAGGGAGATGGAGCTTCTCAGATAGATCTGAGTTTTCATCTTGAACATGAGTGCTAATTTGCATTGGGGGAGGTTCCTGAGAAGATAAAAGGAAGCACAGGGCAAGGTTTGGAAGATTTGAGAACAGTCAGTTGGAAAATATCGGTGTCATATTTCATTGTATACATATAAAAATCCTCAAGAATAAATAAAATAGTAGAAACAGCATGATTGAGATTTAAAACAATAAATTCAGAAGGCAAATGATTTAGGGATACTGTTAAATATCAAATAATTTCGTTGGCCACTTTGTCAGGGACAGTCTTTCAATCTAGCTAAAAGCTGGTGCGGCTGTTCACTTATTTCCAATAAATCCACTTACAGATAAACCTATGTGTGATTTGTAAAATACCTATACACATTGTTTAGCTGTAACTTTACTCTAAGGTGACAACATCTCATCATTATACAGAATTAGGGAAAAACATCACTTTTGCCCTACCCCTTTGGGGTTTATCCTTTAAGGATACTTATTCTGATGTAGGATTAAGCATGAGTGTCATGTAGGTACTCATTTTCTTGATAATTATCTAGAGCAAATCACAGAACAAATTTAAGAGAAGAAAAATTTAAAGACATCTCCATATACTATTGGTACTAAAGTGCTACATCATTTTCTGTTTTTATTGGCTTAATAATTTATTTACTTTAATGTGGATATGTAAAGTCTTTTATTTTTTTGGCATCATTAAGCAAATGTTCCAGAGTATAAACAAATACAACACATCTTAAAATAATATCCCACAACATTATACAGTACGCTTGTCACTGTAGCTGACATTTTAAAACTAGTCTTACTATGGACAAAAGAAAAAGCTGGGATTTCGTGCATCTCTCTGATATTTGACTTTTTGTTTTTTTAAGCCGGGCGGTGGTGGCGCACGCCTTTAATCTCAGCACTACGGAGGCAGAGGCAGGCAGATCTCTGTGAGTTCGAGGCCAGCCTGGTCTACAAAAGCTAGTGCCAGGACAGGCTCCAAAGCTACAGAGAAACCCTGTCTCAAAAAAAAAAGACTTCCAGATTTCCATGTAAAGTCTTTTAATTCATATTGTTTGACTCTCCATAATATGTTCTTAGTCAAAAGTGAAATTCACAGGATGAAAATAGAGGAATTGGTCTCATATATTTTAGGTCCATCAAACACATTAAAAAGTTTTACCCTCTCATGGTCCAGACTTCCATGCTCATGTTCTCCCTCCTTCTGCTCCTCATTGGGACTTTGGGAGCTTAGTCCGATGCTCCAGAGTGGGTCTCTGTCTCTATCTCCAGCCCTCACTAGATGAAGGTTCCATGGTGATATGCAAGATATTTATCAGTATGGCTATAGGATAGGGTCATTTCAGGTTCCCTATCCTCAGCTGCCCAAGAAACTAACTGGGGACATTGCCCTGGGCACCTGGGATCCACTCTAGGTTCAAGTCTCTTATCAACCCTAAGGTGGTTCCCTTAATTAAGTTATGTGATTGCCTGCTCCTCTATCCAACCTTGTTTTATCCCCAATCATCCCTTTTCCCCAAGTTCCCCCCATCCTCACCTTCTCACTTTTCTCTCCCCTTCTCCCCTTACCCCCATCCCACCCCACCCCCCAAATCCCAATTTTTTGCCCAGCAATCTTGTCTATTTCCCATAGCAAGGATAATAACTATATGTTTTTCTTTGGGTTCACCTTATTGAGCTTCTTTAGGATCACAAATTATAGACTCAGTGATCTTTATTTATGGCTAGAAACCGATTATGAGTGAGTACATCCCATGATCCTCTTTTTGCGTCTGGGTTACCTCACTCAGGATAGTGTTTTCTATTTCCATCCATTTGCTTGCAAAATTCGAGAAGTCATTGTTTTTTATGGCAGAGTAGTACTCTAATGTGTATATATTCCACACTTTCTTCATCTATTCTTCCATTGAAGGACATCTAGGTTGTTTCCAGGTTCTGGCTATTATAAATAATGCTGCAATGAACATAGTTGAACAAATGCTTTTGTCATATGATAGGGCATCTCTTGGGTATATTCCGAAGAGTGGTATTGCTGGGTCCAGGGGTAGGTTGATTCCGAATTTCCTGAGAAACTGCCACACTGATTTCCAAAGTGGTTGCACTGAGACAGTGGGGCTGATCTATTGCGACCACACAAGGCCAGCTGGACTGTGACTGAAAAAGCATGGGATAAAACCGGACTCTCTGAACATGGCAGAAAATGAGGACTGATGAGAAGCCAAGGACAATGGCATGGGGTTTTGTTCCTACTTCATATTCTGGCTTTGTGGGAGCCTAGCCAGTTTGGATGTTCACCTTCCTAGACCTGAATGGAGCGGGGAGGACCTTGGACTTTCCACAGGGCAGGGAACCCTGACTGCTCTTCGGACTGGAGAGGGAGGGGGAGTGGAGTGGGGGGAGGGGGAGAGGGGCAGGAGGAGGGGGAGGGAAATGGGAGGCTGGGAGGAGGCAGAATTTTTAAAAAAAAAAAACAGATTCACTGAGATGATAGAAGAGAAAGTGGGAAATAACCTTGAAGCCATTAATACAAGAAAATATTTTCTGAACAAAAAGAACTTTGTTAGCACAAGCACTAAAATCAAGAATAAATAAACGAAATCTCATGATACTGAAAAAAAAAAAAAGTTTTACCCTGTTCATCTGATTTTAGGTGCTGCCAGGTAGACTGATCCTTACACTGGTGCTGGAAAACATCACAGTGATTTCTTTTCTTTAAAATAAAAAAGATAATTTTATCAAGAGAATTAAAAATCATTGAATTCCTTCTCTGTAGTTTTCAGATGAGCTTCGGTAAGCTTATGACTTTGCTAGAGGAATAATTACAAGACCATAATGTCAGACCATTTTGAAGATTGGCTGGGTGGTCATGGGCTTCTCTTTCATCTTCCAGTGACAAGAGTTAAGCCTGCTATTTTTTCTCCCTCTAGTTCCAAATTTTTCCTTTATGTTTTCCTTGTTCTGCTTCACTTAGGACATTCTCTAGTCAATTTTAGGAAATATTTGAGCCCAGTGCATCTTTGTAGTTCTTCTGAGATGCTTTACTGCACTAATAAGGCTTGTGACTCTTCAAAGAATTCTTCTGACTCTTTTGAGAAACAGAAGTGAATATCTTACTAATAGAAAACTGTGGACGTATTCCAAATTACACATTAAGATGCTTTGTAGAGAGCTATTTATTTACTGACCAATTGTGCCAGGTCCAGACTAACACAGGAATGCTCCAAACCTAAATACTTAATGAAGGCAGATTGAAATTATCAGGGAAGTCCATCAAATCCCTAATTTTATAGTATGTAATAATCATGGATTCTAACACTTACATAGATTTTGAGGCTTAAGTAGAGGGTTTTGTTGTTTGTTTGTTTTTCAAATCTTTCCATGTCTAACTAACATTCACTAAATTGCCCATATATATGGAAAACACATCCTTTGATTGACTTTAATATGCATATGAGTTAGTCTTTACCAAAATCAAGACTTCATTTAGTTCCATTACCCTGGTCCCAAATATGACCCTTAATTATTTCTCTGATTTCTTTATATGCCACATTGTGTACAGTTATTTTATTCACTGTTTTGTGTGCTCTCAGGATCCTAAATATTCAGTTGATTTGGTCTCCAAAGCTTCATCTCCCTCTCTTAGTGTCATTTCTTGAATTTCCAGAGAAGGCACAGCCTCAGATTAAATAATTATTTTTTTTCATTTATAATGCTGCCTTCAGCTTATGATCCAGTAATATGGAGCCCACAGCCTACACTGTTTATAATGGCACTTCTCTAGCTCACATGTGAGACACTATGCTCTTACACTCAGCAGAAAATGAGAGTGCCAGAGCAGTAATTCTGGGAGCCTTTTCTGGCAGCAAAATAATCAACAAAGGCACAGACTAAAAATCAGAGAACTCTTCTGCCTTTAAAGGACTGAAGAGAGATGGAAAGGGACTGGAGCAGTTGTTTAGCTGGAAAGTGCACACTGGTGGCTGAGAATTTGTGTTCTGAAGGTGCACAATACACATATAGAGGAATCATTAGCTTGGACTCTGAGGTGCAAGCTATTTTTTGGATATTTACCATGCAAATGTTTAAAAAGATGATCTTGCAGCAATGATAGTACTGTATACTTCTATGAGTCCTATTAGATTAGGGCTAGAAAAATGTGGACGATTCATTATCCTACCTAACTTTGGATAATAACTAATTAGGGAAGTTTTGGTTTCTCTATCACAAGTATAAAAATAATTACAATGAATTATAGATCATTCAAAATTTCCAAGCTGTCTTACAAAATCTACAATCAATAAATGTCATCATTTCAGATTCTTGATAAAGTACATGTATATATTGAAATATAAGTATGGAATACGTAAAATTAATGTGCTGTTTTGTCAGACAACAAGAAGGTATTAGATATTTTTTGAGGATTATAAGGGATGCAGATGTTCAGTGTGTAAGTAAAAGTAACATTAATGGACTATGACAAGTATAGAGTACTCTAAGGAATTTCCTTTTGTAGAAGAATAAAACAAAGTTATAATACCAAAACAGGTGCAAATGCAGTATATTCATAAATTTCTTAGATTCTAAATGACTCCTACTGTTTCTGGGAGTCCCTCTTGGTTCTTAGTATCCCCTGCTGTTCTGAGTAAGGAGTTTTTTTATGCAGGTTCATGCTGGTGTTCCCTTACTGTGTCTCTGGCACAGTAATACATGGTTGTGTCCTCAGTTTGAAGACTGTTAAGTTCTAATAAAAATTGACTCTTGATGTTCTAGTGATACTTCTTTTTTGATCTAATGAATACAGCATGCCTGACGATCAGAGTGCAGAGCTAACCTACTTGTTAACCATAGAGCCCAGACAGTGATGGCACACACCTTTAATCCCAGTACTTGGGAGACAGTATCAGGTGATTTTCCATGAGTTTAAGGCTACCCTATGCTACATGGGATTGAATTTGTCATAAAGAGA